AACAATATTAATAATAATAATAATACATTCCACAGCTAGGCTACCTGTTAGAATAATAAGCCAGTTAATATGAATATATTTTTTGATAAGCTAGTCTTTTACAACTGGAATGTACAATGAACTCATACAGAGAACTACCTGGCTGAGACTGAACGTTTTTCAAATGGACTTGGACTGTAAAATACTGTGAAAAACGCTGGTCTTCTCTAAACCCGGGGTGCACTGCAGGTAGTTGTACTGCACCGTCAAGATAATGAGGATTAATATGGTTCTTTAAAACCTCTGTGGGGTTTAGATTCATTTCCTCTTCTGCAAGTGCGGGCTTTTATGCAGATGAGTGGAGTAAGTTGCAGATTATAACCGTAATGTGGCTAAGATGTACCAGTAAAATGAATAATGAAAGAGATGTGTCTGGGGTTTTATTGTTTTGGTATTACAAAAAAAAAGGAAGAGTTTCAGTTCATGCATAACAATTACGTTTGTGAAAGAGAAGAGTTCACTTAATCCCAAATGTTAAAGCAGGTTACTGTTTTTCTTTTTTAATACATTTTTTTAAATGTTTTTCTAATGCATATAATCACCCACTTCAAGGTGAAGTGTGTAATTGATGCACTACTAACATTTTTCTGTTGGTCATTCAACAGACAGAATTTATAGTCTAGAACAGGGGTGCTCAGTCCTGTTCCTGGAGAGCCACCTTCCTGCAGATTTCAGTTGCTACCCATATCAAACACACCTGAACCAATTAATTAGGACCTGAACACCACGTGATAATTGCAGGCAGGTGTGTTTGATATGGGTAGCAACTGAAATCTGCAGGAAGGTGGCTCTCCAGGAACAGGATTGAGCACCCCTGGTCTAGAATTTACTTGCTTTACTGGTTAGATGTTTTTATAGATGGCCTCTACAAGGTTTACGTAAGACCTATTCACACATTGTTTACAATTAAATTGTATATTTACAGACAACATGGAACAAAATGTATAAAGTATCCAGCATTAACTATGTATTCAATCTCTTTGATTTGACATTTGGAATTTAGTTTAACTGCATCACATTTATTTGATCATCTTCCATTGGAATGAAACCATCATTCATTCATTTTCTTGTCGGCTTAGTCCCTTTATTAATCCGGGGTCGCCACAGCGAAATGAACCGCCAACTTATCCAGCACGTTTTTTACGCAGCGGACGCCCTTCTAGCCACAACCCATCTCTGAGAAACATCCACAAACACTCATTCACACACACACATAGACTACGGACAATTTACCCCACCCAATTCACCTGTACAGCATGTCTTTGGACTGTGGGGGAAACCGGAGCACCCGGAGGAAACCCACGTAAACGTAGGGAGAACATGCAAACTCCACACAGAAATGCCAACTGAGCCGAGAATCGAACCAGCGACCTTATTGCCGTGAGGCAACATCACTACCTACTGTGTGTAATGAAACAATGGTGAATGTAATTGTAGGGTCCAGCCAGTTGGTCCAATGACGGTATCCAATGGTGGATGAAGGTTCACTGCATGTTCAGCCTTTCCAGTCCACAATGTTGATTTATATTAAACTTAACTCATATCCATTTTAGTATGAGGTGGTTTAGAATATTAATATATTTATCCTCGTTTTATCTGACTCCAATTATAAAACATTGAAAAGGTTATTTTGTTTGCGTTCACATTAATTTAGATTATGATTGAATATTCTCTTCGGTTCATCATTTTATGTAATTCTCGTTCATTGGGATCTCTATAACATCCTAAATCTTGTACCGGCCGAGTATACAATTTCTTAAGCACAAGCATGTCAGTCTTGGTCATTAAACAGTGGCGATTGACCGCTATCCTAAACTGGCAGAACCCTACTTACCCAGATTAGGATATTTTTAATGCGGTCCCCATAAATCTGCTACCTCCTAAATCAAACAGAGCTATTTAGTCATATAGTGATCATTACTATAGAATTAAGCAGACCAGTCGTACTTAAACTATTAGTAACTTTGAATAATCACTATACTATCTAAATAGTAATATAAGTTTAACAGGTGAAGGACTATCCCCTTAGATATCCTTTTACAGCCTAAGTATACATGAATTAATGCCAATGTGTTAGTCGGAGCTCTAGAGACATCGTATAGCGTGCCGCAATGCTCCGTCTACCATGTTCTAGTCCGCTACTAACCTGTACAGGGGCTTGTGGTGTTATGAAATTACCACAGTCTACTAGAGATAATAACACGAACTCTGTTTGAATAATTCAAAACATAACAATTTATTAGTCAGGTAAATGTATTATGCCAATTCAATCAGTCAATTCATAAACGATCAATACAAAATATCAAATTATCAAAGATAAATCCAAGATTAAAAGATGCATACCTGACTTTAAATTATACATAACGTGGAACGTAAGCTCCACATCACGGGCTGATCTGGGTAAGCAGAATCGCCCTGAGCCTTTCTCAAACCTTACCTTAAATAATCCAAGAATTCCCTCAAGGAAAGGGGTGTGTGTATAACAAAAGGCATTCAAACTTAGTGCTGCCTGTGGAAAAGTCACACCCTTCACAGTGGTTCAAAAGATGCCTGAAGTTATATATTTATTGTTTTGATTATGTCTGTTTCTGAGAGAATGAGACCATTGTACCAATCACACTGAGACATTTCAAATGATATCAAACATGATAGTTAAAGTCACTTTGGTTAATCTAGAACATTCAAACATTGAAATGACCATATGCGTGAGTTGGGGTGGATGAAGCCGAGCTTCAGCAGACTCAGATGCAAATGCAGCAGAAACTGGTTTTTCCCGCATTCCCACCTGCTGGGTTGTGGAGTCACCAGTCTCTGTTTTCAGCTCATGTATTGAATTGTCAAAGATATCAAAATATTTGCAATATTTCAACTCTTACAGTAATTTATTAGAAATGATTCAGAGGTTTTGATACTGTTTCTTTCTGATTTACCAGCTCTTATTTTGACCCATGTCAGTTCTTGATTTGACCCTTGATTTTTGATTCGATTGGAGAATTTATTAATTTACTTTAATATAAGTACTGATTTTTTTAAATAAATGAACAGCAATGATAATTGGGAATTAACAAAAACAAAAAGCTCACAGACCTTGAAGAAAACCCACCTTTCAATCTTAAATGCTTACAATGAGTATAAATGTTTTATATAAACCATATTTTTTTTACCTTGTATGTCGAAAACTGAGAAAATAATACACTCCAGAGAGGGAACGTGTGTATTTGTGCCATTTTTACAAACCTAAAATTCATCTCAGTCAGGAGTTGAATGTGTAAGATATCAGCACTCCTCTGTTTTCAGTAGGACTTTACTTGGCCTATCCATGGGGTTCAAGTACTGCATGGGGTTCAGTCTACTAATGCACTGCATAGCTGATGTTTTTTTCAGGTTGGATAATTGTCAAGTTTTTGTTAGGTATTTGATTAAATATACAGATTGTAATATAGAAATTCATTCACAGCTGTTTGAAATATAAACGGTTTAAATATAAAGATTGTTATTCTATTTGGCTTTGTCTGTATCTACTGAATCTGAAAGCATTGTTCCTAATTCTCTGCAATGACAAAGCACTTTCAAATCACTTTCAGTTTCCATTTCCCATAAACACAGCATTTTCTAGTAAATCATTCAGTTTCTTTATAGATTTATTTTCTTTTTCTTTCACCATTTTTATCAAAAAGGCATTAAAAAAATTCATGTTTGTTGCTATTTAATTAGGAAAAAAGTGGCAATACTTACAAAATGTATTTGAATGTTTGCAAAAGTGAAAGTGAAACCTAAAAAGGTTATATAAAGAGGCACTGCAGTGCAGACCGAGCTGCAGACTGTCTGAGAAACTGCAAGTCACCTTTTCGGCTGGGAAAAGACAAAATACCATGGGAAACGCACCATCTGAACCAGCACCACCATCCCTGGGTGAGATGAACATTTTATGTGTGATAATACAATGTTGATTTCATTTTTATCCGAGCATACACTAGATACATACCAGAAATAAATCAGTTTGTTGTATTTTTATTTTGTATTTATTTATTTTATATTTACATTTTTAATTCAGCAGTTTCTCTATTATTTATATATTATTTAATTTTAATTATTTATTTTCTTTTAAGAACTGGAGAAGCCATGGAGAAAATTTGACTGGAGGTAAGTTTATCTTTATGTATGTATGTATATATATACTTTCAAAAAAAATAATAATAAATAGCACAAATAAAAGCTTCTATGTTGATCTAGAAACTGTTATTTGTATCTTTTGCACATTCATAGTTTCTGTTTAATGATTATGTAACAGGGTGTGGTCACATGAAGGAAGTTTAAATTTGCAGATTAGAAGATGAACTTGATCAATAGAAACGCTACTATAATATGTTATTTGCAAACCTTTTGAGCCCTTCAAGTAATTGTGTTTCTTGTAATTGCACAGACAGAAAAATGAGCTGAAGAAGCGTTTAGAGGAGTTCTCTGTGAGTCATCCAGATGTAAAGTGCATCAATATCCTGGTTGCTGGACAAATCGGTGCAGGGAAGTCCAGCTTTATTAATTCTGTCAATAACACATTCCAAGAACGAATGACAAGTTCGGCACTGGTTGACTCATGTGGAGGCACTAGTTTTACAAAAGAAGTAAGTTTTTTTTATAAAAAAAAAAACAATAAAACTAAACAGAATAAATTGTTAATCACATTAAGATAATATAAAGGCTGTTGTATTAACCGCTTCCTACTTTTTTGTTTTGCAGCTAAAAGTACACCGAGTCAGAGGTGTAAAAGGGGATTTACCTTTTTACTTGAGTGACATCATGGGTTTAGAAGCTAAAATACTGGCAGGGACTCTGCCGGAGGATGTCATAAAAACCATATATGGATATGTGAGGGATGAATACAAAGTAATTCAATCACATTCATTTAAGAGAGATTTTTTGTATTGATTCAAGATGATTAGAATTGTTGCTACAGTATATCTGAAATATTCACATCTTTTGTTTTTATTTTAAATCTCAGTTCAACCCAGAGATGTCAATCAGTGACAAGAATCAAGATTACGTCAATGACCCGTCACTCTCAAACCAAGCTTTCTGCCTGGTTTATGTCGTGGATGCAAAAACAGTCCAATACATAGATCAAGGACTTATTGATAAGCTGAAGATAATCCGCCATGCCATCAGCCATGACAGTAAGAGTTACTTGTATATGATTTGGTGATTTCTTGTAATGTGATGTTGATAATATTGAGAAATAGGTAGGCCCACCCTCAGATCTTCCGCATATTTTTAAGCCAATCATTAATTCTGTTTATTTACTTGAGTAAATGTGTGTAAATCTATATTTATTCAGGTTGGTTTTATTATTTCAGTACTATTATTGACTAATGTGAAAATGTTCATCTGATTTATGTACAATGCAGTTTGCACAGTACTATTTTCTGTCTTTTACTAGAGATATTTTATGACACACTTGCTTTATTTACCAAATAAAGTGAATCTAATTGGATTTGCATTTTAAACATTAAATAAAAGTAAAAAAAAATATTATTAAGGTTTTAATTATGATGCTCCCAAAATAATTCCACAGAAATCTGCAGACTTTTACCAAAATTCTCTACAGAAATAGCAAAAAATTATTATTATATTATCTGAACTTAGGCTTAAGCATTCAAAACAGCGTTGTGTTTTTATTTTTATTTTTTTTATTTTCTTAAAGTCAACTACGGTATTTTGGACATCAGCTATTTTAAAATTTGTTGTAGAATACTGAATTTTTCTTAAACCATTTTGTTACTAAACTTGATATGCAATTTTACAGTGTGTGAAAAATACTACTAAAGTATATATATATACTTTAGTAGTATTTTTCACACACTGTAAAATTGCAGAGTGAGACTTTAGACCACTGACCATGCTCTTACTCTATGCCTTTTGTAGGGATTCCTCAAGTGATCGTTATGACAAAAGTGGATGAAGCCTGTCCACTAGTGAAGGAAGACCTAAGAAAGATCTACACCAGCAAGAAGATCAAAGAGAAGGTGAACCAAGTCTCCCTGAAATCTAAAATAATGTTTTGTTGTTTTTAAATAATAATAAAATATATTGATATTTTATTTCATCACTTTTCCTACATACATGCAACTTGCAGTGCTTTACAAACAACAAACAAGCATCGCAAAATAAACAAAAAAAATTGTATAGACATATAAAGCAAAATAAACAACAAATATATACTCTGATATACATGTACATGCATATATGCATACATCTACACCTGGGGTCATCAATCTCATTCCTGAAGGTCCGATGCCCTGCAGGGTCTAGCTCTAACTTGCTTCAACACACCTGCCTGGGTGTTTCAAGTATACCTAGTAAAGACACGCAAACACGGGGTGTGAAACTCTGAGCGGCGTTTGGTCCTGGACATGGTGTCAGCAGGAACAGAGACTAAATAAATTTTAGATTTTTGTTTTTACCTTTTATTGATGTTTGTGTCACTGATGTGCGTGTCAATGTGCATTGTGTGTGTTTGTGTGTTTTCTAGATGGAGATGTGCAGTGAAGCCATTGGTGTGCCAGTGAACTGCATCTTCCCAGTCAAGAACTACTGTGAGGAGATTGACGTGGATGATGATGTTGATGTTCTCATTCTGAAGGCATTTGACCAAATTGTAAACCTTGCTAATGACAGATTGAGAGACAGAGCTTCAGAGTAAAGTAAAATGTAAAGGCATTACTGTAAATGCAGCCATTTTTTTTGTGTATATCAAGAGATACCTAATGCTGTGTTCACACCAGACGCGGAAGAAGAGAGTGATTTACATGTTTAGTCAATGCAAATCCGGGAATAGACACTGTCCTCATGCCACCATATGAGAGAAAAAGGCTGAACACCCTTATCCCTTATTAAAGCTCTCTGTCCTTATCATTTATTATTATATAGTTATAAACTACAGGTGCTGACGTGCATCTGTTGTTGGTGTCCCAGGGGAAATCCTTCAGCTGACACATCAAACTGGGCTCGCCTCAGTCAGAAGCAATGCTGAAGCCTTCATCATCCAGGTTAAGTTTCTGGAGGAGTTTATGAACTAACAGATCTGGATGCACTTCTGAAAGGATCTAGTGGACTCCGACACGACCCTTAACCTATCGACGCTGTTTTTCAGCCTTCTTAAAGCACATAAACACAGTTATTTTCTCAATAAAATCCATGTTAGCCATTTAGCAACAAAGCTACAGTCACCGGGCAGACAGAAGCCCTGCCCATCATGCTAATCCGCATCTCTTCTGAAGGGAATTTGACGCGCAAATGAAGCGGATTTGACGCGAAGGAATCGGGGTTTGAGGCGTGAATGAAGCAAGTGAACTCAAATGTTCACACGGCCATTTACGCGTGGGTATCACGATTTATCTGCTCGTTCCGCGTCGGTTGTGAACACAGCATAAGAGCTACTTTTTCAGCAAAAATTAAACATGAAAAGGTTGTGCAAAAAAAAAAAAAAAAAGAGACCGGCTTGCAGAAAAATTGACATAAATTTTAAAAACAGAAACATATTGTTTTCATATTAGGATGTTAGGGAGTGTTACCCCAATAATAAGGTGAGATGTATATGTGGGGGTTTGTTTTATGGAAATACACTTAGTATGGTAAATCAAACCCCCCAGACTGCATGATTTTCAGGCTGATTTTCAGAGTTTAGATTGCATGAATTTCAAAGTAGTCGTGTCACAGATGTTTTCACACTGCATGACTATCTGGGTAGCGTTCTGTCAGTGCCGTGTTTACACTGTAGGATTGATCGGCGGCAGGAGAGTTCACACTGCTTGACTTTAAAATAGGAAGAATCAGCCAACAACCAAACAACGAATGCAAGCAGTGACATGGAAACAACGCGAGGTCATGTAATATATCTTTCGTTATTAACTACATAATGGAAAAAGAAGGCTTTAGCTTTAGAAACGTGTGTTGCTCACCTGGTTTTTGAAGAGAATTAATAATCTCTCCTCAACTGCTTTTTTACTTTTCGACCTGATTGTGATATTGATCAGATGACACGTCAATCAGACACAGTGCTCCTGCCAAATTTACATTAGTTTTTCCTCAATTTCTTGGGTCCAAATAAACTGAAAATGAGCACTTTTAACTTCTCCCCCAGCCTCCCGCTGGCCTGCAGGTACCTATACTAGTGTAGAGGTCTGCAAATTTCCGAATAAATCGCGAGAGCGGTCGGTAACAGGTTTGATTTGGGACGGGAGCAGGCTGTCTAGCAATATCGCGGATATTGCTATGCGAATGAGAGAGCGAGAGAGAGAGAGCTTTCCCAGATAGCAAAATACACTCGGGCCAGTTCCGGCTAGATTCTCGCCTGCCGGAGACTTACCACTCGGCCCGGCTCCGGCTGCCGGACTCAATCGGAATCAATCGGGCCAGATGCGGCGGCCGTCCACGCCGGAATCGGCCCGAGAGTAATGTGCGCTGCGGCCCGGAGCTGGCGCGACTCAGTATTTATATAACTTTATATAAAACCTTTTGGTATTACATTGGTACTTGATACATGGTATTACAACCCTTTCAGTTGATATAACAGCAAACGCCTGTGTGTGTGCTTGGTGCTGTGTGTGTGTGTTTATACAGACAGCTTGGCTGTCTGGACTGTATAGCTGGGTGATTTTCGGTTTTGTTCTCCCCCGCTCTTTAGCAGGATCGGGCGCGGCGGCCAGAAAACGGGGCGGGTCGGGCAGCGGGACAACAAATTCTTAATATAAGGGGGAGCGGTCGGGTTCGGGCTAAAACCTGGCGGGTGCGGGCGGGAGCGGGATTCAAAATGTAGTCCCGCGCAGATCTCTATACTAGTGAATGCTGCCCTCTCATTGGCTGTAGGTGATCGCGGATGTTATTTTTAATCAGAACTCATTTCACACGGCATGATTGAATCGCCAAAAGCTCCAGATATTCAGCATGCCAAATATCTCATGGGTGTCTGCTACTCATCGGCGATTCTCTCATATCGTGTCCTTGATAGCTCATATAGTGTGATTGTTACTCGTGTGAACGAGCACCGATTTGCCTGAGATTTCAGGCATTTGCGGGTGATTTCTCAAAACCTTTCAGTGAGTCAAAATCAGGGCTAAAATCATGCAGTCTGAACTGGAGTCTCCATCTGTCTAATTAGGGTATTAGGAAGGGAACCAGCACTTACAATAATAATTCCTTACATTTATATAGCGCACAATGGAGGGGAATGGAGGAGAATCTCCTCATCCACCAACAGTGTGCAGCATCCACCTGGATGACGCGATGGCAGCCATTTTGCGCCAGACCGCACACCACACACCGGTTGACTGGTGGAGAGACTATATATACACATATAGAGACTATATATACACATCACATATACATACAATGCATATGCACTGGCTTGTGGCTTCTCTTTGGAGTATTCTTACTAACAGAGATACGAAAATAAAATACATCTCACAGTACTAGTAGCAGTTTTTCTTTTTTCCAGACAATTCCTTCCCCCAGCTCAATTACACGTTTAAAACTCCTTCTAAACTTGCATAAGACATGTGGCAGGTGGTCTGTGGGCTGGCAGAGAAGCCTATATTGTCTTCTGATGCAGAATAATAGGAATAGTTTGGACAATTGAAGTTGTGATGTTTCTTTTTTTAAACAATGATCAATGAAGCATTTGTGCATTAGATAAATATGCCAAATTAATTAAAGCGAAGCAAGTAGGAGTCTGTCTCACTGTGTTAAATATGGCAGGATCTTTTCTTTCATTGCAGCCTATATTTAGATGTAGAATAGCTTGCGTTTAATAGATTGCAGTTATCTTCTTTCTATTCAGATATTACAAAAGCTATCCAAGCCTGCATACAGGTATAGCACTATTATAACACATGAATATTGTCTTCCTGTCAATGTGAATGAGGCAAGTTTACTACAAAAGGAGGATTTAAACCAGGGGTTCGCAAACTTTTCAGCCTGCAACCCCCAAAATGACAATGCAAGTGATTCACGACCCCCAATATCCTCTGAGGTGGTTATAAATACAGAAACATTGCATGATATTCTTTGTTTAAGTTTTTAATGTATATCAGTGCTGTAAATGAGCCAGAAAGTTTAACCTGGTGTTATAAAAATCAATCTGCTAAATCGTATGCTATTTCTGTGTCTTTAATAATATGTATTTACCTCAGAGGTTACAATCCAATAGAACTAGTTACTATAGTAAGTTACTATAGTAAGTATATAGTATATAGTAACTATTTTATTACTATTTTATTTTATTAGTATTTTATTTATTAATTTTTTTCCCCTTCAGTGGGTTATGGATAAAATATGGTAATTCTTATGGTTTAATAAAAATAAATAGATTTTTGGAAATCACCAGGCGACCCCCCTTCATTGTCCAGACCCCCACTTTGTGAACCACTTATTTAAACTGTACTAAAAACTTTTAAAAGGTTTTAAAATGCATTTAATGTCATTGAAATTTACCTGAAAACAATCCTTTGGGGAATTTCGGATTCTGTGATGCAAGTTTTCAAAAATAAAAATGTGATTTGGGTCACACAGCTTGTTATAGGCTGTCTGGACTCTGTATAGCTGGGTGGTTTTCGGTGTTGTTCTCCCCCGCTCGTTAGCGGGAACGGGCGCGGAGGGTAGAAAACGGGGCAGGTCAGGCAGCGGACAACAAATGCTGAATATAAGCGGGAGCGGTTGGGTTCGGTTGATGGTCTCTTTGTTAAATTTAAGTTACATTGCATCTACATGCAAACTCATTCTCGTTAGATTAAGTGGACAGTCAGGTTGGGTTTAGAGTTAGTGTAAGGGCGTACTCACACAATCCTATTTGAGATCTGTGAGTGCTCTGAATCAGGCTCAGGCACGGTACACTTGGCCGGCTCTGGTCCGGTTGGAAGAGGTGTGCCAGAGCGCAGTTCACTTGGGCTTTGGCGCGGTACGCTTGTGTTTGAGTGCAAAATGCGCCTGAGCATGAAACTGAAAGCGAGACGTGACTTTTAAGTAACTGTTTCATGTGGGTTTATCAATCATTATTACGGTTCCGTGAACGCAAACTGCCGTAGTTTATTATAGACGCAAACCCCTCACAGCAAGAAAGCTGCACTTTCAACAAATTTCCAAATTTCTGTAGCACCAGGGCTTTATGATTGTTTATGAGCGTCAAAAGTGGTTGATCTGTTTGGCGAAATGTTTTGACTGCGTGTCTCTGCATATCAAACGACTAAAACGATATAACAAAAGAAATCTACACTGTGCTGAGTGAAAGCACTTTTGTACTGAACAGTGCATAATCGATGACGTAAGCATAGGAAATGGGAGGGGGGACAAGCATGCTTTGGCCCTGGTTCAAGGCAACTGTACATAGTGTTAAATACTATTCTACAGTTGTGCCTCCAATTAACTCAAATGCTGTCAATTAGCCAATCAGAAACTTACAAAACCTTGACACCATCATCTGAGCTTTTTCAGAGGCATGATAATCTTATTGTATGTAAACTTGACCTTCAAGGTAAGTCACATTTCTCAAATAATATCTCTCTCATTATTCTGCTATTAAGCTTAACAGAAATGAATTTGATAATTCTAATTTACCTAAAAGAGAAAAAGTTTAGTCACATTAACAACTGATTGACAAAAAAAAAAAAAGTTTAGGTGCCTTTTTATACAGTGCATGTAAACTTCTCGGGAACGTCTCGGGAGGTACGTATTCAAGCGTTTTTTGTTTTCGCGGATCCGCGAGAGGCCGCTGTGCACGCTTTTTCGAGGCTTTTCGCATGAGAACGGCGCGGGCGCGAACGGCACGCGCTCCCGAGAGGCGCCCACGCCGTTCTTACGCGAAAAGCCGCCGGATCAACCGACCCAGCCGCAGGATCGGCCGACCCGGCCGCCCTCCTCTTCTTTCTCCTCCTCCTCCTTCCCTAAACCTGAGCGACGGTTTGCAAAAGCTGTCCAGAAAAAAAAAAAAAAAAAGCAAAAGCCCTCGTCTTCGATTTCGACCGTGTTTTCGGATCCCGCCGCGTTCTCGCCCTTATTTTTCGGATTCCGTTTTTCATCTTACCTGATTTCTGGAACCGCTGTTCCCCGGACACGATCCCGGTCGTCGTCCCCGCGGCCGGCTCCTCCTCCTTCTCCGGGGCCTCCGCTCCGCCGATACATCGCTGTGAGCTAAGCGGACAAACTGGTTGCATCGGGAAAGCCCTCCACTTGGAGACGAGCTGTCGGCCAGCGAGCGCGAAGAGGAGGAGCGGAGCGGCACCACACCGCCCCGCAGCGTTCGCTTGAAAAAAACTAAACGCGTCCGTACGTACCTCCGGCCACGTAAATCGCGGTCTCCAGAAACGTCCGCGGAGCTACGTTTCCAGAATGAGCTTGGGTTGGATGTTCAATTGTAAACATGCTACTAGACCTGCAGGGTTTCCAACAGATGATCATAAACTAAAGGCAAAACCCACTCAATACTTTGTCACCCCTGCATGTGCTTGATA